TATATATATATATATATATATCAAGATTTAGAAAATATCATTTTACAAGAATGTAAAAATATTGACTGTAAAATTACCTAATCAGGGGGAAGGGGATCTGTGCTTTCAAAAGTTTGTCAAAATATCATTTAAAAAGTCAAGACCTGTTACATATTAAGATTAACCAAAATGTTGAAAATGTTGATTGTAAAATTAAAAACTAAAATATATGTATTTTAAAGGACTAAAAGGATTACAACATGGTGAAAGCTATATTAAGCTTTCAATGTTTGTGACTTAAATAAAGAAGTTGGTTATCTGTTTAAAATGTAGTCAGAGCATTTTAAAATACAACCCGGTTTAGATAAATCTTGAAATTAATCTATTCCCGAACATATAGATAAATTACCTTAACCAAATCTCTACACATTTCAATAACAAAAAAATTTAGAAGGTCTAAGAAGGAGGGGAAATGTGTATACCGTATGCGTTATCGTTCATGAAGAGCAAAAAAAAAAGTAATTAGAACCCATAGAGGAATAACGAAAACCCTAAATCCGCCAATGAGAGTCTAGAGAAGAAATGGTAGAGTGCTTGAAGGATAGTGAAATGAGTGAAGAATGCATACCTTATTAGGTTTTTTGTTCATCATGGGGGAATAACAAAAACCCTAAATCTACTCCAATATGACATAAATTTGATTTAATATGCCATACATCTGATCCGATGTGTCATACAAACCCGACTGACCTTCGAAATCTATTGTACATAAGATCTGCTATCGTAGAAATCAAAACCATGGAGGATATCGGATATTTCTATTTGATCCATAGAAAAACAAGGCGGTTTTACATGTTGATGGTGAGAAGGATAGACGGTGGTTCTCCATTTATCATCGCGAGGAGGAGATGAACAGTGGAGATATGGCTTGGAGAATTGGCGGTGAACCAGTGACGATGAAAAAAGGCGTGATTTATTCCTTATTTCGATTTCGATTTGATTTCACAAAAATAAGAGCGGAAGGTCTTCCATTGTGGAGGGAATTAGGAGCGGGACATAAAAATTATAATTTCCCATAGCTATAGTGGCACATATAATACTTGTGCCACTAAAAAGATAGTATAGTGGCACAAAAAATAATATGTCACTAAAGATTTGTGCCACTAAACCTAATTTTATTTGTAGTGGATTTTCATTTAAACTTCATCGGCTAATTCTCATTCTATCTAAGATTTACAAATCCGTATCGAATTCACCGCGCTCGAAGAGTATGGACTAACTTCCATCCATATCTTTCGCATACGAGCTCCGTATTCGACTGTCTTTTTATTGTTGAGCTCCTAAGAAAGGAAGATCCCGACGTTTGAATCCGCCGGTAAGATGCCTCCAAAATCGCCAGAGGTTAGGGTTTACATAAACTTATACAATCGCATACTTTTGTCATCAGCTACTCGCACGAGTTATTGGTTAGGGCCATTCGGTGTTTGGATTACTCATTTTGGTTTTGATTAATATTTTAGCATTTCACATACACCACATAAATAACTAGACTAATATTTATACTTTTAATCTTTTATAGAGGTATAACTAATTACTTTTCAATATTATTTAATAATATAACATATCATAACTTCATAAGATGTAAAAACAAGTATGGAATGTACTTCGAAATTTCTCTAGTTTGAAAACATTTTGCAAGTTATAAAAGTGGACGACGAATTTTACTTTGCAAATAGTAAACGTTTATAATGCTAAACTATTGTTGCAACTTATGTGTATTTTGTTTTATTCCACTGTAATTGATATTTTAAATGGTTTAACGGTTAATGGAACGGAATAATCCAAAACCCATTAAAACGGACCTTATTTAATTTAGATTAGTTACAACTAGTTTACAGATTTAAATAGAATGAAGTAAATAAACTGAAACACTATTAAACGAATCCGAATAACACCCCCACCCCCGCTGGGTAAAAAGAGGGTAATTAATGGGATTGCACAAACCTAACTTTTGGTGCCTTAGGTTTTAAATCATGAATTTCAATAATTTAAAAGTGTTGAAAATTAAGTTTTATGCGGCATCTTGTTTCTGCATATCAAGAGTTTCATTCTTTAACTAAAAATTAAAAAAAAAAAAAACCTATGACAGAAAGCAAGATGAAGAGAAAACTCAAAGTGGTTTTATTATAGGGAGGAGCTAAATTTGGATACTGTCAAATTTGGAAAACTGAAATTAATAATAAATTATTGAAATTAAACAACTAAGTAAATAAGGAAAATTTTAAAAATCAAGAAATGACATTCTGTCATTAAAATTGGATTGCGGAAATCTTGGAAACGGATGAAGTTGAGGGCCGGTCGACTTATCACACACCTACAAGTTCCTTAAACAGTGAAAATTTGGGATTGACCGGGGGCAGGTCAACCAGACCTTTCTGTTGATGTATCACACGTCTACAAATTCCTTACCGATCAAAAGTTTTTCTCCCACGTGTCCATAAATGTAAAAGCCATATCATCTATATGCTCCCCATCACAATCTTGCTTTGATATCAAGTTTATCAACACAAGAACAAATGTCGTCCATATGGTAGAAGGAAGAATGGAGTCAGTAGTAATAAACACACAACTAACTGAAACATGTGCTCCCGAGGGATGCTTAATTCAGTTAGTTATAATAAATGTTTTCCCTCACACAAGACAAATAATGCTAGGTTGCCTTATTTTTTCACTTCTAGCTGAGCTAAGAAGACTTGACTAATACAAAGATGCAACCAAGTAAGAGCAAAAAGCACATTGAACAATACAAAATTTTGGTAAAGAATACCAAAACACTGTACTAGGCACTTAGGCAGAAATTAGACCAACTAAATATGTACTAAACATTCATATTGTCATCAGTTGCGACTCCACAAATAGAACGTATTAATCTTCATGATTGGATTCACAAGAGCGCAGTTTCCTTCCATCAACAAAGATCTTCAGTTCATAGTTTCCCACATCATCTTGCTCCTGTCGTATATTTTGAACGGATACGAGAAGAGAAACACCACAATTCAAAACGTAAATATACTCAAGCATTGAGATGTCCCCTAATTCAAGGGGTATATCTTCTAGATGAACGCAATTCAGCACCTCTAGTCGTTTGAGGCATGGAAAGTTGATACTTGTGGCTTCCCAATGTTTGATATTTAACTCTTCAAGTCTCAAGAATTTTAGTTGTTGAAACTCCTCCTCACCTGTTTCCCAAATCATTCCCTTGAAGGCATTGTCTTCTAGTATGAGAACCTCTAGATTAGGTAACGATTGAATGATCGACATGTCGCTCCACGCTAAACCACACCTTACAAGATGAAGTTCTTTAAGTGTTGCAGGGAACCTAATGTGATTCTTTCCCAAGTTTGGTTCACCTCTAACAAATCTTGGCTTAGTTGATTCCGGTCTGCTGAAGGCTGACCCAATTAATGTCAAGATTTGAAGGCCACGGAGTACTTCAAAGTCATTTTCCTCATCAGAGTAAAGAGTAGATGTAAGATTCTTGATCCCGGGAAAACATTTTTCAAAATTATCTACCCCATCTCCAAACACCACATTCGAAATAACTTCCAGTTTCATAGGTTTTACAATAGAAGGAAGATAAATATCTGTGTTACTGATTAAATGCCTCAGATTCACCAAATTTGATATGTTACTAGGTAAAACCATAGAACTATAAGTTGTGTGAACAATGAGGGTTTGAAGGTTCCATAAATTACATATTGATGACGGGAATAAAGACTGCCAGATGTCAAGGTACCTTAAGTGAACTAGTAATGCTAAACCGGAGGATAAATCAATCAATTCACATTTTTCTAGAATTAACACCCTGAGAAGTGCAAAGGAACGGAAAAACTTTGAGATATTGTCGGTTAAGAATGTTTTCCTATGATAGCACAAAAGTGATCGAATGCTTGGGGTGGTCGCATGAGACAAACTCAAAATGTCGATATCTTGATTTGTGAACACACGCCGTTGCTTACGTGTGGCAATTACATCACAAAGATGATTAGATTGTTGCGAGTCTATTTTCAGGAAGAAATTTTCTTCTTTTCCCATTTCCACACATAGTTGCTTAACAAGATCATGGACCCTACAAAGACTGACATCACCCGTTACATACCTTTTTTCTACAATTAGAAGATTTCTGTCAACTAGATCCAGCATGTAACTCTTTGCAATTTCCTCCAAGCTTCGAATTCCATCTTCTTGTATAAATCCCTCAGCCATCCATAACCAAAGCAACCTTGGTGAATAGATCCGGGAGTCTGAAAACCCTCCAAGATAGAGAAAGCACTCTCTCAAGTGAAGAGGTAGATGGTTGTAACTTAATGCTATTGTTTCTAGACATCCTTTCTGGTCATTAGCCATGTACGAATGGACACTGCAAGAAATTTTTAGCCACATATCTTTGTTCCTTTGTTCTTTTGCTAGAACTCCTGCCATCACAACTACAGAAAGCGGTAGTCCATGACATTTTTTGGCAATTTCCATTCCAGGATCAATCAACCATTTGGGGCATTCATCTCCTTTGAAAACCTTCCCACACAGCAACTTCCAACTTTGTTCTTCTGTCAAATGTTTTAAATGATGGATGAGTCCGTGTGATGTTGCGTGCAAAGAAACTTCTGTGAGGCGACTAGTAAGAAGAATTCGACTTCCAGTGTTATGATCAGGGAAAAACAATTTCAACTTATCCCATGCCTCTATGCTCCAGATATCATCAATGACAATCAAATATCTCTGACCGAATAGGCTCCTGTGCAACATTTTATGAAGCTGAGAGTCCGTTGCTTTCTCAAGCTCTAATGGATCATTAATGGATGACAGAACTTGAATAAGCAGATCCCGCTTGTCATATGTTTGTGAAACAGTTACCCAGGCACGGATATAAAAATGATAAACAACAAAGGGATCAGTGAACACTTTGTTAGCAAGGGTAGTCTTACCTATTCCACCCATACCAACAATAGAAACCACATCCAGATGCTTTCCATATTCAACAAGTTTGTCCCGTATTATCTCAGCATCACGATCAAACCCCACAACTACTTTTTCTGCTAATTTCTTCGATCCCATTGAATTTCTAGTGCGGGAAGTTCCAGCAGATTGCATTTGCAGTGTGTCAGGTCTTTGAGAAGAATCCATCTTCATGTTATCGATGCTCGTAGTAATGAACTCTATCTTTGTTAACTCGATTGATCTCATAACGAATTCAAGGTGGAGAGAGGTTTGAAAGACATCAGATATAGGGAAATACTCATTATTTTTACAGTGGACAGCAGATAGAAAGATATCGACGATATCTTCTGCCTCTTCAGCTGCATCTTTGAATCTTTTCTTCAGTTTTCTGACTTTTTCAAAGTTGTGTAGATCTTGGTGTTCGTTGTTGAAAAGGGTTTGGATCATGGAGCCAAGCTCTTCATAAAGAAGTTGGAATTGAGGCGTTTCACATAAGATTGATGGGTTGTTGATAACTGGAATATCATTGCTGTACATCAGCTGCTTCAACTTTTCCATGAACATGTGCACATCTGCATACATCTTGTTTATTCCTCTCGCGAAGAACAAAAGTAGGTTGGTCCTTTTTGAACTTTTCCTTGTAAATGTGTGGGTTCCTATGTTTACAAAATGGGGTTATGGTCCACCAATTCACCAACTCTGAAATAGTCAAGGTGTCATTTTTATAATTTTAATTATTTTTTTTACATAAAATGCATAAATATGCCCTATGTGGCTATTATATTATTATTTTTTCAGTCCAAAATGATTTTTTAAATCTTTATACTCTCTATCAAATAAAATATCATAGTTTGACTTTTGGATATATACTTTTTATTTTGGTTTTCTATTTTTTTAGTTTTCGGTTTCTATTAAATTTAAGAGAAAATTGCATATATACCCTTATTAAAAAGTCAAAATATTATATTTGTTGACCTAATTTCAATATATCATATTTATCCTTTTTAAGCTATCAAAATATCAAATTGCCTAAATCTTTTGTTAACATTTCTTAATCATTTTGTTTTTATTTTAAAATCATTATTATTGAAAAAAACCAAAGTGGATCATATTGTCCCTGCCTTCTAAATTACGTTAACCACTTTGAATGTCCCATGACATGTGTCCTGATGAACTTAACTATTGTTTAAGACGATATGAACAATACAAATGACAAGAAAACAAAGGAGTTGATGAAGAATCTCTCATTAATAACATACCATAGGGGCAAGATAGTCCTTAAACTTTGACTCTATAACATTATTCAACTTTGGAATTTATCTATATGTTGTTTTAAAGTTCAATTCCATTGGTTGGTCTCAGTAGATCTTAGAATGAATACTTTTATCACTCAATTTACGTCATCTCAATCAATTCTTTAAACCGCTGCTTTAATCCTTTTAATTTGTATCTTATTCATCGGTGAGCTGAAATATGGCAGCCATATTTGTGGCGGATGCAGGCATTTTTAATAGCGGTGGCACAAAAAAAATCGTCTAAATATAGTAACATTTTTTTTAAAGTACCGGTACATTAAACCGATCCATTACATCTTAATATTTAAATTTGACTTCTACGAGTACACATTTTTTGAAACTGATCCATTACATCTTCGATCTTCACTTTCATAAGAGCTTCTTTTTCAACATAAAAAATCATGACATCGTTCAAAAAATCATCACCTATTTTGTTACGCAAGTCCGTCTTCAAAAACTTCATCGTAGAAAAATATCTTTCGACTGTTGCGGTAGCGACGAATAAAACTAAAACCAACTTCAACAACCTATAAACCATAGGATAAGACCGATGTTTCCCCGTTTCCACCATCAAACGAGAAAGGTCGAAAATTCCTTGCAAACTAGTGAACCGGTCATCTTTATGCAACGTGTGATAATATATCTCAAGTTCACCATCAAGTTCCATCCTTTCAACATCATCAAAATCTTTTTTGTACAACTCACTCAACTTTAAAAACTTTGTTTTGTCAAATTTAGCAAATGAATCACAATGACTCAAAGCCCCCATGTATTCTATTAATTGGGTGCTAAGCTCACTAAATCGGTCCCCGAATTTTATATTTTGCATATCCATAACCGTGTTGAAAATTTCAACTTCAAAATGAAATTGATTAGTAACTCTAATCTTACGGCCTCTCGATGTCACATAACTTTTCGTCATCTCTACTATATTAATATTATGTTTTTGAAAAAAAGAGAATATCTTCAATAAAAGTTTAGCAAACCCCATGTCTCCTAAATACTTTAATGCCTAAATTGTCCCTCTAACTAAAGAAGCCGCTTTTAAAATGTCTTGATCCTTTTTTTGAAGATGCTTTGACAATACATTTGTGAGGTGTAAATTTTTCATACATCAAATGTAAGTAAAACACGAAATCAAGTGTCTTGAAATATCTTAAGATACCAAATGCTTGATTTCGGTTACTTAAAGTGGATCCTTCCTCTTCGACATAATCAAGAACATTAAGAACCTCCAGAAATAAGTTCATCAAACTTGTGATTGTTTTGAAATGTGAACCCACCTTGTATCTCCCGCTCGAACAAGAGAGCTCTCTTGATTTAACCCTCTTCCGATTTGAAGTTCACCATTTCCTATTGACTTTTGCACCCTATCTATTTGACTTTCTTGTAGCATGTCTTGTCTTTTACATGAACCACCTACCACATTAACCACCAAAGAAAGTTGCTCAAAGAAGTCTTCAACACCATCATGCTTCTTTGCTACACCCAAAATAACTAACTGAAGTTGGTGTGCAAAGCAATACACATAATGCACTGAATGATTATCTTGTAAAATTAAAGCTCTTAGACCGTTGAATGCACATCGCATATTGTTTTCCCCATCGTAACCTTGTCCTCTTACCTAATAAAAAAACATATTAAACACTAAAGCGAATAATATTCAATTAAAATTCATAATAAAGGAAAAAAAAGTTATAATGACATGGGATATACTCAAGTTGTTACGGGTAAAAACTTCATCTATGGCCGCTTTAAGAGTCAAAGAGGATGTATCCTTAATATGCACAACTCCAATGAATCTTTCCTTCACCACTCCAAGGTTGTCGACATATCTCAAAGCTATGGCCATTTGTTTTTTATACATTAGTAGATTCATCAACCAATACAGCAAACACATCCTTACCAATTTATTTGCAAATACTTAAAATTATCTTTTTTGAAAAGCATTCAACTATTTGCTTTTGAGTCCTCGGGCACGTTACTTGATTATTTGGAGGAGCATTTTCTTCGATAACATTGTGAATGCCTTCATTATGATCTCTCATGAAAGATAATAACTCAAAGAAAAGCCATCTATTAAGGGAGTCACTCGACTCATCATGACCCTGAAATGGTAAACCATTTTTCAATAAAAATTTACAACACCAAGTTGAAGCACCTAAACGAAGTTTATAGTTACTCTCCTTAATTTTGGTTTGCTTATTGAAGGCTGCACTAATAGATTGTTTTTCTTTCAATAAAAATTCACAATTTTCTCTTGCTTTGTAATGAAAACTATCAATACCACCGATATGATATCTCAATCAAAATTTTTTATTCCAAGTATCATACCTTGTGAAACAAATGCATCTCTCCCATTTTGTTTTCCCACCATGTCTCCACATACATAGGAAAATAAACAAAATGTTTTATTTTCTTTTATGCTATACTTTAACCAATTAAAGTCATCAAACCACTTAAGAACAAAACGTCTTTCTTTTCTACCTATTTTCGTTGAAGGGAATGTATGATCCCTTGGTTGACAAGGTCCTTGAAGCAAATATGCCCTCCTTATTTCATCTCTTTGATTTGTATTGTAAGTTGTAATCTTCGGTCTAACACCCGGGTCATTTGGAAGATCTTTCAATTCAACACTTGTAATTGAAGTAGTTATAGGTTGTAGAATTATATTAGAAACCAAAGGGAATGATTGATTAGAAGGACATTGTCTTTTAGAGGATCCTTCAAAACTTAAATCATTGGAGCATGGTCTTTTGGAGGATTCTCCAACATTTGATTTATTGATGCTTGTTCTTCCAAAAAAGATCCAATTTTGTCCTAACAATTCAATATCTAACAAATAAGCAATCAATTTATCTAACAATCTAAGTATCTAACTAGTAACAACAATTAAACAACTAATTTCAAGATAAACAACTACTAATTTCACCGAAACAATAAGAAATTTCATCAAAAAAACAACTAATTTGAATAATTTTGTAAGCCTAAAAATATAAGTACCCACTTGTATCATTGTAGGATTGAAGAGAACAAAATTGAAATTTTTTGGGGAGTTAGAGCAAAATTGAAATAGCTTGGAACAATGGAGCTTGGGGATAAAAATTGGAATTTTTTTTCTCCTCCTGTTGATGTTTCCGTTGCAGCTTCATAGAGAGGCAGAGATGAGATCTCCTTTTTTTCTTTGCTTTTTATAATTGTACTTATGGCTACACCTATAGGTAGAGAATTGGGTATTGGGTTTAAATGGGTTGTGGGCTATTATTTTATTTCTAGTTTGGTGGTGGTCTTACGTAGTGTTAAAAATTGGAATTGCACCTATAACTTTTTTTACAGCAGTTGCACCAATATATATATATATATATATATATATATATATATATATATATATATATATATATATATATAT